AGTTTTTTCAGAAGTGGTTTGCCATTGCCTCCTTCCTAGGGCTGAGAGAGAGTGGCTGGCCCAAGGTCACCCAGCTGGCTTTGTGTCTGGGTGGGACTAGAACTCATGGTCTCCTGGTTTCTAGCCTGGGGCCTTAACCACCACACCAAACTGGCTGTTTACCTGTTCTTTAATTTTCTTCTCTTAATCCAGGGTTCCTCAACCTTGGCAACTTTAAGATGGGTGGACTCCAACTCCCAGAATTCCCCAGCCAGCAAGGCTGGCTGGGGAATTCTGGGAGGCGAAAGCCACCTGTCTTAAAATTGCCAAGGTTGAGGAACCCTGGATTAAGAGAAGAAAATTAAAGAACAGGTAAACAGCCAGTTTGGTGTGGTGGTTAAGGCCCCAGGCTAGAAACCAGGAGACCATGAGTTCTAGTCCCACCCAGACACAAAGCCAGCTGGGTGACCTTGGGCCAGCCACTCTCTCTCAGCCCTAGGAAGGAGGCAATGGCAAACCACTTCTGAAAAAACTTTGTCAAGAAAACTGCAGGGACTTGTCCAGGCAAGTCTCCAAGAATTGGACAAGATTGAACAGATTAAAAAAAAAAAAAAAGGGAAATCACTCTTCTGTGAAAACCAATGATGCCTCAAATGAGGTATGCAAAGCATATATTTAATAGCACACAATCTGTGCATATCTCCTCAAAAGTACATCCCACTGAGTTGAATAGGACTTACTCCCAGGTATATGTATAGGTTCGCAGCTTCAATGTGGCCTCAGTTATATGTATACACTTTCCCATAGTGGGGAAGAAATCTGCATCTATAAAAATCATGCTTCAACCTGTACCAACTAGATTTATTGTATTTATTACAAAAGGAGCTACCAGACGCCTGATTTTTGATCCGCATAGTCCAACATCGCTCTCATCTGACAATTACAAGCTTAATTCATGGGGGCATCTCTGTAATTTTTTTGGTAATAATATGGAAATTATTTGCTACTGCCTTTCTCTAGGATTTTTTTTTTTTTTTATAATTCCCCAGGCTAGCTTAAATTCTTGTAGTTCCTGGTAGTCTCCCATCCAAGTAGAAACTAGGGTGGACCTGGCGTAGCTTTTTCAAGTTCAGCCCAGGTCCAGCTTGGTGCAGCCACTTGCTACAGATGGGGATATAATGGACTTCTGCAAATTGGTGGCCATTGAGATGGAAAGCATTGAAATTGCAGCTGTCAGAGAACGGCAGCTGGGTTTCCTGGGGAATCACTAGAAATATGAATGAGAAAGCAAGGGAATGAAATTTTAAAATGACCATGAACAGAAATTACAAAATGATCATCTCTTCCATACCCTGAGTAAAAGTAGAAGATCTCCCCCTTTCTCCAGCTTCTGCAGAAAGCAGTGATTTGGAAATACTTAGCAGATGGAACAAGGCAAGTCTGGATCAGACAGTATTCCATGCAAACATGCATCAGACTATCTTCTCTTCAGGAGAGACAGATCAGGGCTATTTGAAGAAGGAAAAGTAGAGAACAGATGTAATCCTGCAAAGGTGTGGCAGCAAAAGCCGGTTGGCGTGAAGCAATGTGCCTATTTGGGGCTTGTCAGAACTTCTTATTTAACTCCATCATTGCAGCATGTAGTAGATCATTTGACAGACACATTCTCCTTTAAGAAGTAAATTGTCCCAGTTCTTCTTCCATCTTAAACCCACCAGAGACTTTGCATTTAAAAAAAAATTAAGCAGAAATAACTGAAGAAAGATTCTCAAGGCCATATTTACATATTTGTGTACATGTGTATATGTATATGGGTATACGTGTATGCGATATACGTCTACATATATATCGAGACAAAATCCTGTCACCTAGCTTCTGCAAACTAAGGTTAACACCAGCAAAACAATCATGGAGATCTTCCCTTCCCTTGCAAATATGTGCATCGTTCACAATTGTATGTGTGTATCTCTCTTGCACATACACAAAGAGAGAGACATTTTTCAGTAGTCATAATCCCCAGAAAAGGGCAGGGTCAGGACTAACAAACAAGCAAGCAAGCAAACTACACCCTAATTGAATATGTATTGATTAAAATTAATTGCCTGTATATTGCTGTTTTCATTCATGGTCATTTAAACAATGCTGTCAGAAAATTAGTGAATCCTGCTTCTGCAGAAAACAACCATTCTCACACATGTAAACACTACTCTCCCACACAAGAATGCATAAATTTATGCATCTATAGTGCTTACATGTGTGAGAGAGAATTATATCTATATATCTATATATCCATATATCTGTGGATGCCCCTGCAACATACCATGTCCCAAAAGAGCTAGCCGAGGTTCACATTTGGGTGAGATGGGAAAGAAATGGAACAGGGAGCAGCAAGTGAATTAGCAGACAACTCATTATCTCATAGTTGGCAGCTCAGCCCAGGAGAACATCTGGGAAATTGTACCTCAAGAGTCTCCAAAGAGAGTCCACCTTAACAAACTCATTATCCATGAAGGTTAGAAATTCCTGTTACATTCTCCAAGATTCTGTACTGACCCCAGATGAGCGTCAAAGGTAGTTACTGAAATCTGTGTAGCTCTTGGTTCCTTGGTCTTGCCCAGCCATGTGGGGCTTGGCTTTACCTGATGTGCTTAAGCAGGGCCCAATCAATACATCTGGCCAGCTTACACCCACTTTCGCCCTCTTCAAAAACTGTCAGAAGGACTCCTCCAGTTTGGCAGCTGCAACTAGGGTACCCATGTTTTTTGGGGTGGGGTGGAGTGATGGAGCATTTTGATCCAAAGCCACTAATATTAATAGCAACGACAAGAGCACATTGGTTCAGAGAAAAGAAAGATTTCTGTAGCAGAATCTCCGGCTGCAACAAGTCACAGCAGGGACTCAGCTAAGTTCACTGCTTTCTGTTTTTCAGGCTCGAGGTGAAGGCTCTGGAGAATCAAAATCCCTCTGGTTTAAAGGCGGGTGAGTTCTTGAGAATGGGGTAAAATTGAAACATTCTTCAGATGACTCGTAGATTGCCATGGGAGGGTTCTGTCCTAATTGTGGGTTGTTTGCATAGCGCTGAGATCTTCCCCATCCAAGTAGGTACTGAATAATAGATCTTTTGTATTATTAATGTTATGACATGATACAGCCAAGACAAAAAATCCCATCCCCACCAAAAAAAAAAAAGCTATCAGCAATCTCATCTCATCTGCACATTCAGATGGCAGATATCCGTAAAATGTAATCTCGCTCTGCAAAGATTTTGCAGAACATAGCAATTGTTTTTGACGGATGGGGTATTGGAATAGTTTCCATTTAACCAGATCTAGTATGCAGAACTCGCTACTTGACAGTATTTGATAGATGACATTACTGTAATGCTCAGTACTTATTACAAGAATTGACATCTAGCAGTTAAAGATCACATTAGGTTTGACAGATGGCATGCAGTAACAGTAGCTTTTGGCAGGATTTGACAAATGTCTTACAAAAGTATTTAGTAAGATTTATGGCCATCCATTTAGCAAGACTTTTACATTTTCCTTTTGAAATTCAAATGGCGAGATTTCAATAGTAAAAGGCAGATTTCAAAAACCTGTAATTGTTCAAAATTCTGAGCAGTAAAATTTAATTTCCAGGATTGCTCCAACTTTTGCACACTGTATTTTCAACATTGAAAAGAAATTAAAAATTAAACTTTAATTAAAAGAATATATTAAGCTGGGTGTGAAGTATTGATAATGTGTATAAAATTATGCAGGAGGGATAAGGGTATGGAAAAGGAATATTTTTTCCTTCTCCCATGATCCAACGACATGAGAAGTTGATTGGCAATGAATAGACAACAGAATTCCTTTTTCACATAATCCATCACTAATTTGAGGGGATGCCAATGACAGGAGCTCGTAGTGGCCCCTTAGACTGTTTTCAAAGGGTGCCTAGACCAAATCATAAATAAACAATTGCCCTGTTGAATCATAAACCTCCAGGTAAAGAACACTGCAGTTATGGGGAAACACCAGCCAGAGAGCCTGGGACAACCCCAGAAACATCTACTGATTATTCAAACCAGGATGCTGGACTAGACAGCCCTTAGCCTAATTAGCAGTGCTGTTCTTAAGTTCTGAGTGGGGGATCGCTTTTTATTCCTGCTGGTAAAATTTGTGAAATTTGATATCCCAGAGCTCATCCTTATGGCTCTCATCCCAAAACAAAATCCAAAAATTCAGGATCACAGAAAGCTGTATGCATGTGCTTGGGACATAAATACAGTATGTACATGGATATATGCACATATATCTCTCTAAAACTGTGAGTCTAGGAAAAATAGTTTTACATCTCTCTCATCAACCATGGCATTCACTGTCAAACTTAGCGTGACTACTAAAATAACAATGTGCCAGTCCAGACCTGTCTCCTGGCCACCATGCTTCCAACATGGGCAAATACCATTCTGAAAGATGACATCATGATTTCTGCTCTGGAACAAAAGTATCTGAACTGTGCTCCCCCATATTCTTACTCCTCTATACTTGCAAGTCAATATTTTTTCCAGTACATACTTCTTCACCCAAAGTTGTTTCAGAAGAGTGTACAGTTCTGCCTTTGCCAAGTTGTGCAAGTTTTTGTACCCTTTCAGATTTTGGTTTGATAAGACGTAGCCATGATGTAAAAGAAAGGGGGGTCTGGGGCCTTGGGAAGTGATGATTTTGTGTCTCTAAAATCAGCCATTGTATTACTACATTCCAGCAAGGAAGTCGGTTGTCTGGCAAGGGACAACATCAGAGTTCTCTCCTCCCGCCCCACCCCATTCCAAGTATAGAAGAAACACAGAGGCAATGCTGAGCCCTATGCAGGTGCCTCTCCAGATACTTTCACTGCCTCATCTTTTGATGCCTTCCCTTCCTCTCCCTTCTCTGCTTCCCTATCCTAACCTTGTTTCCTTCACCTTCCTGTCTTCCTGTATGATCTGACTGTTTTTGTCTCTTCTCCAGGCCTGGTGGCGGGTTGATCATAATTGATAGTATGCCTGACATTCGCAAAAGAAAACCCATACCCCTAGTTAGCGATTTGGTGAGGTTTCTTCTTCTAACATCTTTCTTTTCTCTCTCTCCAGCAGCTGCTGGCTTTATCTGCTCTGGAACGGCAGGAATTCCACTAAATGTTTCTCTGGAGCCAGCTAATGGAAGGATGAATGTCACATTTAATATTTATATATTTATTTATATTTATATATTTATAAATATTCATAATATTTAAGTCCTTGAATTCAGTATTTTGTCATTTGAGATCTGGTGTAATCTATTGCCTGAGACAGTGAATTGAAAAATGCCCAAGTGCAAATTCTCTTGAAATTGTAAATGTCTTATGTAGCCTTGTTTGACAGATTGACTGATTGATTGATTGATTGATTTCATTGCTGTCCCACTTCCCGTGTGGAAAGATGAGAGCTATGGGAAGGCAGGCAAGGGTTTATTATATGTATAAGATCTTCCTCTTTATTGAGAGAGATGGATATACCTATTCATTTGCAAACC